CATTTCCCCTTTTATCCTGGAGGAGTAGAGATGGAGGATACAGAGGGGTTGTAACTGGGAAGGGATATGAAGTTAGGGGTGGTACACTTGATAGTGGCCCCAGGGTGGGGGGTGGGCGTGCGGGGTTCTCTGGAAGGCTCTGAAGGTCTGAAGTAGAGAACGGGTACAAGATGTTCACTGGGGTATGCACCTGGGAAAGGAGAAGGGGGCAGGATTGGGCTGAATAAGAAGTTGAACTGCCATGCAGGCCCAACAAAGCCTCAGCCCACCAGCAGAAACTTGGGAGCAAATGTTGCCCAACAGCAGCTCATGTTGGGATAAAACAGATGGGCAGGTCCACCTCCCCCTCACCCAGTCAGCAGATTCAGGGATCCTGGGGAAGATGTGACCTCGGGCGAGGCGGCTCTCTGCAGCTGAGGAAGACCAGACTGCAGGCCAAGGCATCTCTTGCTGTCCTCCTGCAGCTCGGCCACAAGCCTTCCTTGCAGGGGGTCTGGGTCCCGCATCTCCATGTTCACCACAACTGCTTTATATTTTTAGACTTGTGTCAAGTGAGGTCCTATTTTGAGAATGAAGTGTTAAAGGTTAATTGAGAAGAATGGTGATGATTTGGAAGAGTCCCCAAGGGAGAGGGGAGAGGGTGCTGGCCAAAGACAAGTGATAGAAGCAAGTTGCTTGACAGTGAGTGGACCCCGAGTCTGCAGTAGCACCATTCTCAACAAGGATGCAGCTTCAGGCAGATGGTCTGAATTTCTTTTAGAAGATATTCTAGTCCCATTTTACTATACTAGCTGTGACTGGCAGAACTGGAACAGAGGAAGGAAAAACAGGTGGTGATGTTTACCCAGAGCTGGATATTGGCAAAGAAGGTACAGTAGAGGTACAAAGGAATCATGGATTCTAAGCATCACTGACATTTTCACATGTGGGGTTCAGGCTGGGGAGAGAGGTTTGAGGTCAGACAGAGTCTGCTTAACCAATAAGCAAAGTACACACAGGGCTGGAGGTCAGAGCTGGGCCCTCTGGGGAGAGGAAAGAGGAGGGGTGGAGGAGGAGCCCCTCCCAGGAGCCACAGTCACCGAGCTGGGTGGGCAGTGACCACGCGGTGGATGACTCACCCATGGAACAACTGCTGTTGAACAGCTCATCCAGCCAGGCCGTGTTCTAGGCATGGCTGATAGAGCAGTGACAAAACAGCAGTGGTCCTGCACTTGTCGCCTTTGCATTTCAGCAGCAGGAGAGAGAAAACAAAGTGAATGTTACATTGGAACTGTAGGTTAGAAGATGATGAGAGCTATGGAGAAAATACAACAGTGATGGGGATTTGGGGGGATATAGGTAGGCTACCGTTTCACCCAGGATGGTCCTGCGAGCCCTCACTGAGAAGGTGACATTTGAGCAGGGACTTGAAGGAGGCAGGGAGTGCTGCATGCAAATATCAGGGTCGAGAGCTTTCCAGACAGAGGGAGCAGCAAGTGCAAAGTCCTGGAGACAGAAGCCTCCCTGGGGTGGTCAGAGCCAAGAGCAGGTCAGCGGGGCTCAAGTGCAATGAGCAAGGGAGAGAGAAGGCTCAGGGGCTACACAGTGAGCCAGGCAGTGGAGGACCTTACATAGGCCAATGAGGGCCTTGGAGTTGACTCTTGGTGAGATGGAAAACCCATGGCGGATGGCATGATATCCAATGTACATATTTTAACAGGAGCCTCTTAACTGTTACCTTTTTTATAAATTTATTTATTTATTTATATTTATTTTTGGCTGTGTTGGGTCTTCATTTCTGTGTGAGGGCTTCCTCCAGTTGTGGCGAGCGGGGGCCACTCTTCATCGCGGTGCGCAGGCCTCTCACTGTCGCGGCCTCTCCCATTGCAGAGCACAGGCTCCAGACGCACAGGCTCAGTAGTTGTGGCTCACGGGCTTAGTTGCTCTGCGGCATGTGGGATCTTCCCAGACCAGGGCTCGAACCCGTGTCCCCTGCATTCGTAGGGGATTCTTAACCACTGCGCCACCAGGGAAGCCCCTTAACTGTTATCTTGAGAAGAGACTGAATGACGGGGCAGCTGATGGCTGCACACTGTCGAGGACATGATGTGGGCCAAGTAGACAGCAGTGGCCTCAAAAGATGATCCATTGTCGTGTGTGTGGACCCTGTGTGAAGAATTTGGAAGAATTCAAAGTACACCATTGACCCCTGTCCTCACGCGGTCTTCATCTGCCCTCCTTCCCACCTCCAGGAACTTTTCCCTCTCTCCCTGCGCTACTGCATTCCACGTTCATGTCTTGCATTTCTAGTTTTATTTTTAAAACCCGTTTCACACTAGCTTTGTATCTGTCCATTTCCCATGCTGATGTTCCTGTGATGAGCACGGTTACGGATACCCCTCCCTGGTCTTAAATAGCTTGACCCCTTACAACTCTTCCCTTCTAACTCTATGCCATCTCTATCCTCGTTTTTTATAGTTTATTGCATCCACCAGGTGTTTCAGGTAATTAGTTAGTCTTCTGTTAAAGATGTTTATATTTGAGCTATCATTGACATCAATCCTCTTAGTTATATCTTAGGAGAATGTTAAAATACAAATTCTGAAAATAGGCTAATTTTAAATTCTGTTTTTTATTTTACCTAGCATTAAAATAAGTCAAATCAGTTTTTCTCAAGTGGGAAGAATGCTAAGGACCACTTGTAAAGGAAAAAAATTATCCTCTAAAACTAAGTTTGAATGAAACTATTTTTTAATGATATTTCTTAAATATGTCTAGATATAAATTTAGAAAGAAACTTTTTATGCTTATACAACTAGAAGACCCAAATGAAAATGTATAAATTAAATATAAATGAAAGCACAAAACCAAAAGTATTCAAGTTAACTCTGTGAATTTAATATAGCAGATGTTGTCATCTTACTGAAACTAAGTCAGTGCTTGGGGTACAAACAGGGCCCTGAGTGGTCTGATCTTAGCCTGCCTATGACCCTGAGCTTGGGGAACCTCAGTTCTGCCGCCTCTCCTCCTGTGCAACTCCTCCCCTCATATACTTGGCACCAAACCACGGGACCCTCGCTTGTTGGGAATTTGACCCTGGAATTCTCGCTGCCTCTGTTCCTTTCCTTATTAGTTGCATAAAACTAAAATATGCCTCCTTGCTCCCAAGGAGATCTAAAACTCAAGAACTGACAGGACTCTGAATTTCCACAGCAGTTTTTGGTTGAATGTCAGCCAATCAAATTATCCAGAATATACCTTTACTAATTGTTTAGATCAGAACAGCAACTCTGAAATGAACAACTGCCCAAAAAGAACCACAGTCTGCAAGTCTTCGTGGCCTCCAGTGGGAGAAAAACAGTGTCTCTTGCAAAGGTCGGGATCTGGCTTTCCTTCTTTGTAGTATTGGACATGCGTGTGGCAATTAATTTACTAGATTTTCCACCAAAATATTCACCTTGGGATTTCCGTTTATTTTCTTGGACTCTTGTCAGGTGGTGACATCACCTGTTTACATTTTGTTCATATTTGTAAAATATTTTTTGTATTACCTTAGTGAACATTTACGGACCACTTTCTCAGGGTATGAAATGCAATAATGTCGAAGACGAATATATTTGAATATAGTAACAAAGACTAAATCTCCGTTCCGGCGTTTCATATGACCACAGAGTTTCAGAGTTGGAACTAACTCAAGTCAAATTCATCTCTAAAATATTCTGCATAAGTAGTCATTTACCCTCTGTCTGGAAGCCTCCAGTTACTGGCTTATAAGGCAATGTATTCCATTTTTAAATTAGAAATTTATTCATATTGAACCCAAGTATCCCTGCTGTAATTTTACCTGTTCATTTTAATTCTACCTTCTAGAATAATGCACACATCTAATCCTTCTTGCAAAGGATAGCTCCTTCACCCTGCGGAGACAGTCGCCTCCCTCCACGGCCCACCCTCCCCCAGGCAAACGTCCTCGGTACTTTCCACGTTCTTACATCACAATATGGAGAAATGCCTCAGCCTCAGCGGTTGCTTTGGCACATTTTCATACAACCCATTTTCCTTAATAGAAGTGTCAACAGATTCTGTCATTCATAGATTTGATCCCAAAGAAACAGGTTTTTATATCAATTCTGTTTCCAGAGTTTATATTATAAATGACTGCAAATTAATACTGTGGAATAATTCTATTTGAAAGGCAGGGATGGAACACATTTTAAGTGATAACTAGTATGCCCTGGCATAGATAGATATATAGATAAATAGACAGATGTATATACTTATGTATACATATGTATATGTATATGTATGAGTATGATTTATTTATTTACTTATTTCTTTTTACAACTGAAAAAAGAAAATGTGAAAGCTTGCATAGGCTCTCACTGTCTGGGTAGAACTAGCAGACGATGGGCACAAGGCTGCCCTGGCCCTCTTCCCAGGTCTTTTCCGTAAGAGACACTTTCCAAACGGAAATGCAGCATCTTTAGGGTCTTGACAAATCCTCCTGGAAGAACCAGGCAAGATTCTGAACTATAGCCGAATCCCATGAAGACGGGGCATCCAGATGCCCCATCTTCATCCTTCACTCTCGATGTGCAGAAGCCCAGCCGGGAGGCTGAGGAAACAGGATGTGATAAATAAGTGAAATGAACCTACATGTGCCAACTCCCCATCTCTGGCCCCATGAAATCCTGGCTGTATATTAGGGATAAGTGACATGCTGGGCAGAAATGACACAGTGTCCTAAGGCCCCACAAAGGCCAGGTCACAATCAGGAGGGGAGAAAAGGCCTGGCCAGGGTCACGTGTGGCTCCTTCCTAAAGAATCACAGTGAGGGGCAGGCTGCAGGCAGAGTGCCCTCGGGCGTTTGCTGTCTGGAGGTTGGTTAGACTGTTTTGCAGGTGAGCATTTGTGTGCTCCCCCAAAGCGGCACTGGTCGCTGGTAGTCATAACTGCAGTAAGAGCATAGCACTGCACAGAATGGGGATAACACGTTGGTGATTAACTCTTCTTCCCAACAGCTGGCTGCCCCAACTCCTTGATCAAAGAGCTCCATCACTTCAGGATTCTTGGAGAAGAGCAGGTGAGTCAGCCTCTCAAAAGCTATGCCAGAGTGTTGTGGAAGATAGACGGTAATGAGGCCGTTTAGGCTCTCTCCGGGGAGGCAAGGGGTGTCTCCTGACCCTCAGCGCCTGAAACGGGAAAGGGAGCCGTGCAGGAGCTATGTGTGGGAACACTCTTTCCCTCTTCTATCCATCAGGCCTGACAGGTTATTAATTGGCACATCTGCTACCTGCCAGAGCATTACATCTCGGGACACGGCAGTAAGCAGGTACAACGTAGTGGCAGATAAGCAAATAAGTGCCGAGATGAATTATGCCTAAGAGATCGAGCATCACAGACAGCCCTGATTTGATGTCTGTAGGTGGATGTACAAACTCTTCTCACCAGAATTTTATATTTTGTGTGTTACCTGTATTGCACTTCAGCCGCTTTGTCTATGGATGTGAACATGTGACTTATATACAAAAGCTGGCCCATTTAAAGTTGATTATTTAAATGTTGCGTTGTGCTCAGTGAAACATGTCAGGTTCTAAGTAGATGTGTTAATAGTTCAGAGTGCTAAATATTACCTAGGTGTATATGTATAAACACACACACACACACACACACACACACACACTTGACCACTTAAAAATAGACCTCCTAATCCTCTATGGAATTACAGGCTCCATATTATTATTTTGTTAAATCTGATGTCAAGCTGTCCTTGAAATACTCATGCCATATAGTTTACAGCGTGCTAGTTGACCTATTATATACTCTCGTATTGATTTTTACTCGCAAAGGTGGTCTTTGCCCACTCTGACCAGAGAACATGCAAATGGAGACGTGGCCGCTCAGTTTTGTCAACAGATTTTTGGTTTGTGTGTTTTCGTTTGGTATGTGTATGTCGCAAAGTTGGACTGCCCATTTCCAATATGAGATTTCAAAAGGGGGATTAATTAGGGGAGGATGAAAGGCTGGAATCATTTCCAACTCCTTGAATTAGCAGGTTACAGTGTGCCTCATCCATGTTTTCATACTGTAAATTTCCAGAATAGAGAGCACGGACGTTTATTCAAATACAAGCAAAATCAAGTATCCTCCATTGCAGGTAAGAGCTGCTAACAGACCCCAAACATACCTATTTATGAAAACACCTGTATCCCACAGCTCTTTTCCTGTGAAAGCCTGAGAGATTTCTTATAGCAAGAATCATTGATTGTTACCCTGAGATTTCTGCTCAGGTAATGGAAGCTTCTCTTCTAACTTGTACCAATATTTGCAAATTGTTTCCATGTTTGTTTTAGAGTCATTGGGTGATGAGTAAGGAAAAATGCCAACTATAATCATCTCCTTAGAGTTGCATAAAATTCAAGCCACTTTGCATTTTCTTAGACATTTAATCAAGCCATAATCAAAATCCATATTACTCTGATCAGTTGTGCTACATGGCCACTTGGTGCATCACAGCAGTATTGATTTTTATTTCCTGAAAAACCACATTTCCTTCCTTCCTTCTTTCTTTTCATTCGATGAATACTTAACTGTGCACCTACTCATGTGCTGTATGCCATTCTTGTTTACAGGGCAGAGGAGTGAAAAAGAAAGCCCTCTCAGGCTCCCATTCTAGTTGAGGAAGGCTATTATGTTACGTGCACACAAACATGTTCAGTATATAATATGCTAGATGGTTATCACTGCCATGGAGAAAAGTAAAACCAAAAAGAAGGATAATGAGTGCTGGCGGTTGGGGGAGCTGAGATTTTATACAGGGTGGTCAGGAAAGGTCTCACTGAGGCAGGTGCTAGGTGCATGAGGACCTCAAAGGTGCGAAGGGAAGCACCATGGTGACATCTGGGAAGAGGTTCCCAGGTAGAGAGTAAGGTGAGTACAGAAGCTTTGAAGCAACCATATGTAATGCTTATCTTATGTAAAAAGTATTATAAAATATAAGTTGTGGTTGGAATAAAGTGGGAAGAAATCCAGGAGCATGTGAAGTGGGAGCCAAAGGAACAAAGCGTGTCCTGATCAAGCAGGATGCAGATGGGAAGTGAGCCCTGGAATTTGAAACTTGGAGGCCATTGTGACCTTGACCAGTGGACTGGTGAGGGTGAAAGTCTGCCTAGATTGGGTTCAATGGAGAGGGGAGAAGAATGGGAGAGAGAAAATCTAGATACCTTTTTTTTTTTTTTTTTTATGAATTTAGCTAAACGTAAACAAAGAAATGAGGTAGCTGCGGGTAGGGAATGTGGCATCAAGAAATTTTTCATTTTTATAGAAAAAAAATGCCATGTTTATGTGCTGATGGGAATGATTCTGCAGAGGAACAGGGAGATCGATGATGCAGAGGAGAGGGGAGAATTTCAGGAGCAATGTCCTTGATTCGACAACTAGCAGAGTTAAGGTTTGGCCGAAGACGAGAGTGGAGACAGCTCAACCTCGTAGCAGTGGGAAAAGCAGAATATGTAGGAAGATTTTTGCTGCTGTTTCTCTTTTCTTGGTGATATAGGAAGCAAAGTCATCAGTTGAGAGGGGAGATGGGGGAAGAGTTTTATAGAGATAGGAAAGGATGATGAAAGTGTCATTTAGGAGGCTAGGGAGTGAATAAGTGTAAGAAACGAATGAATTTGGAGCGAGATCAATCAGCCTGACTGTTTTTCTGTCACACTGAACTGTGTAGGCACAGATGCAGCAAAGGCAGAGGGTCAAGTTTAACCAGCCACATGAGTAAAACAAAAACAAGAGAGAGGCAAAGGAGCTCTTTGCTGCGCAGACCTAAGGGAGTGAGTGTAATGACTGAGCCTGAGATTTCAGCTGGGTAAGCAGAGAAGAGGGATGAGGGGAGAAAGGGATGGGGAAGAGGTGGGAGGACCCACCGGCTACAGGTCCCAGTGGGTTCAAGGAGTCTTTGGAGTTTGGGTTTTAGAAGGGTTTAGCTGGAAAAGTAGGTGTTGGCTGAAGAATGGAATACTTGACATTGAGATTGTGGAGATGGTGCAGTGACTGGAAGTGACAGGGTCAGGGGAGGGCCAGGAATGTTGCTGGCTGAGTTAAGGTAGCCGACGAGATGACTGCAGAAGTTGAGGGCATGGACTTAAAAAGCCAGGGTGTTGGAAGTATGGCCCATGTGGACACTGAGATCCTCCAGAACTGTCACCAGAGCGGACTTGGAGAGAGTTCTGGTGAGTCAAAAACTGAGGCTTCTAGAAACAGGACAGGGAAGAGAGAGAGAGACTGAGGGAGGTGGGCATCAGTAGCTGACTGCAAAGGAGAAATAGAGCACAAAGAGCGGTTTGAAAATCCCAGCTGGAGAGTTTTAGAAGGAGAAAGGAAAACTGTTCTACTTGGGGTGTTGCAGGTCAATGCTCGGTGGTGCAGAGGGTGCAGTGGAGAAAACATTTGAGGGGCTGCAGGGGAACCAGTGTCCTGAGGTGTGAATCAAGGTCAGTGAGGGAAGAATGTGAGAAAAACACTGAGAGTGTAAGTTACGGGGCACTTGCTGCTGACTGACTCCGAGTCCCCAAGCTCAGAGGCAGGCGTTGGGGCAGCTGAAGGACAGGGTGGGGAAAAGGGATGGACAGAGCTGTGTGTAGGACAGAGGGTCAGACCGGAGGGGTGACAAGGGAGCCAAGGATCTCTTGGTGATGGATACAAACAGGTCACATCAGCTAGGGATATTTCCGTGCTGATGAAACATGACAAAACGTAGTGGCCTCAGGGCAGATGGTGGCACGAAGTCCGGAGAGGGAGCAGAAAGTTCCAGCCCCACCGCTCCTGCCAGTGGGGGTGGGCAGCCCTTAGCCAGAGCTGCTGAAACTCTCAGGCTGTCTCTGGATGCTTGAGGCAACTTAGATTACTTGAAACAAAATGTTTTATTGTGTGTTACAAGTTCCCTCGGACAAATCATTGTAGTCTCTAACTTGGCTTTTCGGTTTGCCAAAAAGGAAGAGTGATGCTAGGTCATCTCTTAGAACCTCTGTAAATAAATAAGATTGCAAAGTAAGCTGCAAATATTAAGTATACACTAAAATGCTTCTGATTTAAATACTGTTCATACTCTATCAATAGGCTGAACTAGTGGCAGCAAAAGTAGACACTAGAATCGGTGTAACAGGGAACTGTGTCCAATACCCTGTGATAAACTATAATGGGAAAGAAAAATAATAAAGTAAATCAGTGTAACATTCACTTAACAGTGAGCTGATAAAACCTGTACAGATACTGGTTACTTACTCAATTCATTACTGGATGGTAGAGATGCTGACCAGTATCTAATTTCTTTGTCTGTGATTCCTTTCTGTTTTCATTGACCTTGAATAGGCACTTGCTTTTTGAGATCTGGATTAAAAATAAATCGTTATAAATGCTATAAATCATTACCTTCCTAAAATAAAAATGCAGTTAAAACTCCTTGGAATGTAACATATTACATTTACTTTAGCTCTGGGCCCTGTTGCTGATTTGTGTTTACGATTCACGTTCATAAAGCACCTTTCATCCCCCTCACCCACACCCACCAAGGCCAAACTACTTGGCAAAAATATTATCACACTGCGGGTAAGTAAAGCTACTCTAAATTTCTCGGTGATCCCTAAAGAAAACAGGTATGATATCTGTTAAGTCCCCAGGATTTGGAGAGTCTTCAGAAAAACTGCATTTCAGACGTACTTCCACTTTTACCAGCTTCCTCCTCTTTGGGTTTAATCACCAGAATTTTAAGGAAATAACCTTCATTTATTCAACAAACATTTCTGAATACCTTTTGTACTGTTATTGTGCTAGGGTTGGGTAAAACGTTAAACAAGGAAGTCACAGGTACAAATCATGATAAATGCTAAGATGTAACCTATTTTGGATAAGGAGTCAGGACCTCTGAAACATGAAAGTTGACAGGACACCCACCATGGAGTGAGCTACGGTCACGGGGCTTAGGGGAGAAGAGCCTTCCAAGCAGAGTAAAGCACATGTTCCGTAGCCCCAGAGGAGGTGAAGAGCTTGCTTGGTTCAAGCCACTAAATAAAATTAATGTGTCTGGAA